CTAGAGCAGTGGTTCTCAACCTTTCTAATGCTATAGCCCTTTTTAACACAGTTCTTCAAGCAGTAGTGACCCCAATCATTGCATTATTTTGTTGTTACTTGATAACTGAAATTTATTGGTATGAATTGTGAATATTTGATATTTGGGATAACTGATATGTGATCCCCAAATGGGTAATGACTCACAGTTTGAGAACCACTGTTCTAAACCAAAGAAAATAATGAGTTCTTACCAAAAAAACATAAATATAAGAATTTTCCATATATTAATAATTGATTAATTCCATCTATAAAATAGAAAACTGATGATCCATTAACATTTTCTTGTTTGTCCTCACAGTTTTCATAGTAACAATTATAGAAAACACATTCATCTAAAAGCAAAAAAAAAATCCAACAGATGATCTAAATTTAATAGGAATAACTTGGCCTTTCCCTGAATGAAAGATGTTGAAAGGCTTAAATGAGAATGCATGTAAAATATCTATCAATTACCTGTGCAATAAAAGTTACATTCTTCCACTCTATCCTTATCGAACTCATTATTAATGTGAAGTTTTATATCACATAAAGAGATGGATGACACTTACAACAGTACAAGCTCAGTGCCCCATTTTTGAGACTGTTTCCTGATTTACTACAGGATAGTAAGAATGAACAAATGTAAAACAGAAGCTAATTGATAGGCTAAATGCATTAGTGCATTCCAGTGCTCTCTATGAAAGGTTACTACCCTACATTAGCTAAGTGCTGAAATCATAATTAAGTCTGATGGGAAGTCCTAGATTTATACCAATATAATTACAAATATTACTTAGCTTAGTAATACAGTATGGCAAGAACAATGAGATGAGTAATTTAGATGATATTGCAAAGTGGGTTTTAATGTCTGAAACTTCTATTACAGTACACAGGATAAATGCAAGTAGTGTAATTAAAACTAAAAGAGTCTGATCCTTATAACTCTACTGCTCGGCTCATTAAAATGCATGTTTTCTCAATTAATCCAAACTTTTCCATTAAAAACATAAAAATACACTTTCATTCCATGGAAATAAATTTCCATGGTACTTATTATATTTAGAATCAAACACTAAATAACCATTACAGATAAGAAAAAAAGAGAAATGGGGAGCAAGAAGTTGTGCCCATAAAGCCTGACAAAAGAAGAACAGGCGGATTAAAGGCTGCTTATTTTCCCATATAAGCCCTCCAGTTTGGGCAAAATGTTTGAAGAGCTAGAAGGTTAAGATCCCTGAGCAAACCTATGTAGTGTTCACTTAGCAGATAATTCACATTTCATTCACAGATTTCATAATATTTATGAGTTACAGCATTCTCTGATTACTGATTCTCTTGATTTATGACACCTCAGTCATGTGTACAGAAAACTGTGGAAGAATCACATTGCTGCAGAATGACTGCTCTTTCTTTTAGTTCATTATATTTCTAAGAAACTTCTCAAAATATTAAAGAGATAGAAACACAAGATGTCTATATATTTAATTACTTGTCATAAAAAGTTATTATAAAGTATGTTGTTAATAAATTGTCTGCAAATTAGAATATTGATAATGGAGACACTTTAACTTTTAAATTGATATCACTCAATTTTCTTTAAATATTCAGCCTATTTTGTAAATATTATCAGAAACAACAAATGCATTTAAAATTTTTTCACTCTTTATAATTATTTAAAAGGCCATTAGATTTTTAAAGAAAATTTGAAAAAAAAATCAGTACCTTTTTAGGAGAAATTTGACTACATAAAGATGTAAAAGGGGGAAAAAACAAACCTGTGAAACAGCAATAAGAAAATGGAAAAGGGGCTTTATGATGCTGCACTAGGGAGATGTTTGGGTAGACTCCAAAAGTTCAGGAAACACAAGCAAAGAGTGACCAAGAAGATTACGTCAAACTGAAGTCTTCCACACAGCAAAGGAAACATCAGAGTGAAAGGAAATTCATAGACTTGGAGAAAGCACTCAAAAACTGTATGTCACAATAGGGAAGGAACCCAAGTACACTTAACTCAACAGCAAAACTCAAATGGCCTGGTTTTAAAAATGGGCAATAGACCTTTTTATAGACACATGAAGGGCAGTTAAACTGGTTAAGCCTCACTAACTGTCAGTCTCAGACAGAACTAGACATCGTGAGCTACGCCTGTAATCTTTGCAGTGAGCAGGACTGGGAGTTCTCCTTCAGTGGGAAGCAAAATAACCCCTCTAAGTTACCCACTTAGTAAGAAGGACTACTAAGAAAAAAGAAAGTGAAAAGATAATCTCTGTCAAAATCACAGAAGACATAGGACCTCTGTGCATGGATAGTGGAAGTATAATTACACCAATTAGGGCAAGCAGTATAGTGCTCCTGACTAGCCTACAAATGGGGTGACCACAGACTCCCATGAATGCACTGCTGGACACTCGCCCAATGAAGCCAGGGAAGAAAAGTGCATCTGTGCTAAACATGTTTGTTATACTCAAGAAAGGAAGCAATCTCTGTATCCATCAACCCATGAACAGAAAAAAATTTTAAGCTTTTAAAAAACAGTACATTTTTACAATGATATACTAATCACTCCCTTGTCCTACCCCATATTGCCCACAAAAAGGGCTGGGGATATTAGTCAGTGATAGACTACTTAACCAGTATACTGACATAGGTTAGTGACCTCTCATAGAGAAGGAACTGGAATGAAACTCACTTTGCCTTTGAAATCCTGTCATAGGACAACATGGATAGAACTGGACATCATGTTAAGTAAAGTAAGCCAAGCAAGAAAGACAAGGGTTGCGTGCTCTCCATCATTAGAGGAAAATGCAAAAACTTGCCTTCTAGAAATTAAGAGAAACAAAGTAGCTGGCCATAAATTACACAGAAGTCAGATGCTCAAGGCTCTGATGGTAGACAGCAATACTGTGCTGTGGTATTTTTAAATGGCAAGAAGAATAGAGTGTGACTGTTGCAGTTTTGCCTTTTTTAAAAAAAATGATAAATGCTTTAGGAGACAGATTTACTGACCCTTATTTAAACATTACATCATTTAAATATACACTAAAGCTTTACAGAAGACCCAATAAATATATTTAATTGTAACTTTTATGTATCAGCAAAAACTTTTAAATAACAAATAAATGATAGAAAAATTACTAGAAAAATTTTATTAAAAAAATCACATGAAGATTATCATATAACTTAAAAGAATAATTTAGGGCAATCTAAAACTATTGTAAATTGCTATAATTGGGAAAATGGAATCTTTTTGTAAAGGATTAAAAATTCCTTTATTTTTAAAGGATAAAAAGAAATTGGAAAAATAAGAGGATAGAGAGTGTTGTAGAATATTATCTTAATCTGTGTTACATTTGTTTATGCTGTGGAACATTTGTTTAATGATGCAAAAACGTGTTGCATTTTTTTATGTTGCATTTGTTTAACTCTCAGAAGCTGTGTTACTTTGTCTGTCTAGAACATTTGATTGATCAAATAAAGAGCTTAATAGCCAATAACAAGTCAGGAGAAAGGATAGGCAGGGCTGGCAGGCAGAGAGAATAAATAAGAGGAGAAATCTGGGAGAAGATCTAGGAGCAAAAAAAAAGAGGAGAAAGAAAGAAAGGCTCCTGCGGCCAGTCACCCAACTACACAAAAAAGCCACAGAGTAGGAAGTAGCGAAAGAAATACAGAAATAGAAAAAGGTAAAAGTCCAGAAGCAAAAAGTAGACAGGATAATTCAAGGAAAGCTGGCTAGAAATAAGTCGAGTTAAGGCTGGGAATTTGTAAACAACTGGGTGCTGGTTCCCAAAGAGCAAAGAACAAAGAGCCAAAAGAGCAAAGAAAAAACAACTACAGAAAAGTCTTAGTTTTAAGGCATTATTAGATTAAACGAGACATTATTCTCCAAATTGTAAAACATTTCTAAATAAATAGTCACTAATTTTAGATGGAACAGAATGTTTTATTCTGAAAGCAAATTTTCTGTAATGGCCTATCTTGCTACACAAAGATTTATGTCTCAACAACAAAACAAAACCAAAACAACAACAACAAAATCCCATCTGTTCTGAAAAGCTGGTGGGTGGTGAGACCAGGCTCCAGTCTCATGCCTGTCCTCACACGCCTGCCTCTTCAGCATGGGTGGGGCCATCACACATTTGTCTGCATTATCAAAGTGTACTTGCAAGAGGTATGCTTTATCAATGTGATATTTATGAGAAAAACAGGCTTACAGTTATTTAAAAGAAAAGATTTCCCATTTTACAGATTGTATATTATGTATTAAATTGCTAATCACATGATTCAATTTAAAACAACTAACATTTATAAGAAATGTAAATTGCAAGCCAGGGGATAGTGGAGCACACCTTTAATCCCAGCACTCGGGAGGCAGAGGGATCTCTGTGAGTTTGAGGCCAGTTTCAACTACAAATTGAGTTCCAGGACAGCAAAGGTTACTAAACAGAGAGAAACCCTGTCTAGAAAAAAGAAACAAACAAAGAAAAGAAAAGAAAACCAAGAAGGAAAGAAAGTAAGGGAGGGAGGGAGAGAAGGAGGGAAGGAGGGAGGGAGGGAGGGAGGGAGGGAAAAAATGTAAGTTGTAAGAAATACAATCATCATCATTAAGAAGAGGTCAAAAGCTCAAATATTTGAGGTAATTCCTCAAAATCATGGGTAAGGTAAACCATAACAAACAACACAAAACTCTCAAGACCTTAAAAAAGACAAACAATATATGCATCGTGAATAACAATAACGAGTTAACACAACCACTGTTGTTTCTGTCCAAACACACCAGTGCTGAAGCACATAAAAACCTGGCTGCACTTAAAGCAGCGAATGCATCAAGGTATGCGTCTAGATCTTCCTCCACACTCTAGCGTAGCAATTCAGAGGTATAGCTGCATGCCACTATACATGATACTGCCATGTCTTGTTACAGTGATACGCATATCTGCCCGGCTTTCCTCCGGACACATGTCTAGATGTTCCAATAGTTACCTGTCATTTATGATCCAGTTCAGACAGAGGTTCAGAGAGCTAAGATTTTTGCACCTCTTGACGATTTCCATCACAGTTTCATTGTCCAGTTCAGTGATATGACGGAGGTCCAAACTGGAAAGGTTTCTTAGCTAATGGCATAAATAAAATGAAAGATAAAAAAATGAGTGCCAAGTTAATTCTCAAAAATTATGCTATCATTTCTCATGCAGTAGGAGTAGCACCTCTGCTGGACGTCAGATAGTCTAGCCTTTAATTAAATATCAAAGGATTTTACAGAGAATACTTTAAATAAGCACTGAAATCTATGATGTATATATAAATAGGCAAAACATTAAAAAGATTTCACTGAAGCACCACTAAAATGAAGAACTAGCAACCTGTTGTGTAATAAGTAGAGAAGCTGCTGAACACTTCACAGCAAGTGCCTACAGCTGGTAACTTCATGCAACGTTTATCTTCACACATTTCAGTGTTTATCTTCAAAACTCAAACATCACTTTTGTACAAGTTCTCTCATTTTACACTATGAAATTCACATAATCAACTCAGAGGTGTCCTGACAATACTCTGAGTACTCTCTGAACTGGAACAGAGTCACACGTTTTATTGTACCATGCCAACTCGATTTCCTCATTTCTCTCATTCATTTTGATGATTCCCAGTTTTCCCTGATGTACAGTCTCTGAAGGTAAATTAATAAGATTTACATAAAGGTGGCAGGATGTTGATTACCCACTTCAAATAAGGTACGATTTCAAAATTTTTGCTTAGTAACAAACAAAAGAACTAACATGAAAACGTGTGTATATACGCATGCCTTACTCTGCCACCTTATAAGGCAAGAATAACTTCACAGATGCCATCAGAGAGACTGTCCTAAAATGGAGAAATGGAGCCAGATTATTCAACCAGGTCCAATCTAATTGGTGAACTTCTTCTAAGTGGAGAATCTTCTCTGGCTTCAGAGAGATGTGATCGAAGTTACAGCAGCATCTGAATCATAAGAGCGGCGCAGCCTGCCTTGCCCAGGAACTGGAAATGGAGGGTTGGGACTTTGTGCAAGGGATTCAATGCTGGGAAAGGCATGGCCCTTGGCTGACAGCCATGAAAAAGTAAGGATGAAAACTTACATCCCCAAAGGGCTTAATTCTGTCAATACCTGAAGAAGCAAAACACGCAGACTCTTGTTGAGCTTTCACAAAGCAAACCAACTCAGACCACACCCTGACTTTACCTAGAAAGACCTGGGACAGACAGGTATCTAGACAACAGTGGAATGATAAAGTTGTGCACTTTAAGCTAAGTGAGTGACAATTCGTCACAGCAGCAGTTAGAAACTAGGATGCAGAGTTTACACAACTTGAAGGAGCTCTCCTAGGACTAGTTTGTCTTCTCTAGACTACCATCAAATTGTTCTTTGGGGAAGGTTATCCCTATAGGAAGCAGAATTGTAAGTTTGACCCAATTGCCAAAGACCTCATAGCAGACAAGTCTCACCTATGTCAATTCAGCTTAAATCCCCCAAGAAGCAGACACTAAAAGCCATGGTAATGGTAATACGTGTGCATGAGCAGCTGCTGAGCAATTTAAACATGACCAGGTTTTCAAGACCTAAGTCTTCAATTCATTGATATTTTGATTTTTGTATCTGTGTATAGTTGGTGTCTACTGTATTGCCACAGTTCTAGAGAATGAAAAGTCATGAAGCAGTTGGAGAGGAGTCAGCCAGGCATCTCCCAAAATCACTTTGTATCTCAGATCACTCAGGAGAAGCTACAAACAGAGTTGAGACACCATGGGTCTCTGTTCTCTGAGGCACGCTGCACAACTGCGGGAGAAATGGAAAACCAGCTGCTGTGGACACATTCCAGAGGCAGAAGTTTCCCCAGTGTCTCCTTCAAGGGCCATAAGGTTTCCTCTGCAGAGAAAAGCTCTTAAGAAGCCTCTTTGCAATCTGCCTGTCAGGTCAGACTTCAGTGAAGTGGAATCCAGCACAGCGCCAGACCCAGAAACATCAAAACTGCAGAGAGAAGGCAAGAGCAGGAAAGAGGGGAGTTCTGAGGGGTTCCTGTCTGGTCAGCAGAGGCTGAGGGCCTCACAGAAGCACACTATGAGAAAAGAGACTCATGGTTGCTGGGCCAAGTATGCACAGTGCTGCATGCAGTTATTTAAGGTGCTGAACACCTTTAAGTTCAGCGCTAGAGAAGCAGAAGCAGATGACTTCTGTGAGTTCCAGGCCACACAGGGTTGTTTTTCAGCCCTGTCTGAAAAACAGAATACCAGCAAAACAAAAACAACAACAAAAATCCTTTGAGCTGTCCAAACATCTCCAGGCAGCTGACCAGTCAAATGTCATCTAGCCTCTCTAGTATCCCTTCCTTCTAGGGACTCCTCACTACAATCATAGTAACCAACACACCATGACAGACCACACATGGGAGCTGTCACCTGTAAAATCCTAACCCTTTGATCCTCGACCCTTACCTCTCTGCAGCTTACACTGCTGGGCAGTAAACAGAACAAGAAAAACTATATAAAATATAAGGTTGAATCCGGAATCTGTGAATAAATTGAAATTCAGTAAAGATCCAAAGGGCTCACACTGGTATTCCTACAATGTCTGCACACCTCCCAATACCTGAAATCTTTCCATGTGGCAAATGGAAATTAGAGCAGCCTGCAGCTGGGAGCAATGTGCAAGGCGATGGAGACATGCACTCCCTTTATGACAAGTGAACATACAAAGACTGCAACAGAGTCAGAGAGGACAGTAATGGCACGGGGAGAAAGCTTTAGGTCCTAGTGTTTCCTTCAATAGACTGGCTACCATTTTTCAAGACAAGTAGCATAGCAATGGTTTATAAGAAACTATGGGCAGGCAACAAAGAAAATTCGGCTCCCATCTTGTCACAGTCAGAAGCACACTTTGAAAACAAACATGTACCAGGAAATATCTGGGAAATGTCTTTGCTCTCACATATGAGAAGAAACTGTAAGTAGGAGGGGATTCTACTTAAAAAGAAAAGATGAAAGGATTCTGTAGCTGTAATCATTGACCAAGTGAATCAAAAGGAGAGCATCCTGGGTAGAACTGACCTGTTCAGCAGAGACACAGAGAGCCTTCAGTGGTTATTACAAGGATCCTGTCCAAGCTAAGATCAGTTCCTAGCTATGGCCAGCAGCAAAGTAGGGCTATCAGTCCTAGAGTGCTAAAAGCTGATTTCTTCCAGTGAGAACACTCAAGTGAACCCAAGTTCTATGAGGAAATGCAGCTCTTTAGTAGACAGAAGAGGTACATAGGCTACGGAAGGACTCCAGACAACTGCAAACAGTGAGGTGGCATCCATTCTTTCTCAAGTGCTAAATTATGTATCGCAAACAAATAGAAGAATCCTGCATGTAGGTTGCAGGAGAAACTATATTTGAAAAGAAGTCAGGGTTGAATACATTAAATGAATGTAATGAATGCCAAAGAAATATGCATTTGAAAATGGTTAAAATGGTAAATCTTTTCAATTTTTTTGGTAAAATATATTTTACCAAAATATTAAGTCATTTTCAAAAGGAAGATATTGAATATGCACATAAAAGTTGTTCAAAAGAAAAAGAAAAGGAAGAAAGTATCCACTTGTTTGTATTAGTACTTTCCCTCATAGCAAGGAAGGCCCGGAGGATCACAAAGAGCTAAGCAATTGGACAAGAAGGATAACGGACTGGGAGAACAATGTTAGCAAATCCAAACTATGTTACAGACGGTGCAGGACAATTCTGAATTCTGTCAATTATGTTTTAAATAGACGCTGATTGGCCAGTAGCCAGGCAGGAAGTATAGGTGGGACAACCAGACAGGAAGGAGAGGTGGGGCAATGAGAACAGGAGTATTCTGGGAAGAAGGAAGCTCTTTCCGCAGTCCTGGCCAGACCCCGAAGATGCAAGATGTAACCTGCACCGCCGAAAAAGGTACTGAGCCATGTGGCTAAGATATACTAGAATAATGGGCTAATTGTAAGTTATAAGAGTTAATAAGAAGCCTAAGCTAATGGGCCAATCAGTTTATGATTAATGTAGACTTCTGTGTATTTTCTTTGGGATTTACCGACTGTGGGAAGTGGGCAGGACATAAACCCCAACAAGCAGGTCCTCATGTTACATACAGACTTGTAAAAATCCAGACATCCCATGGAACTAATCCAAAGCAGGAAAATGCAGCACCAGGGCTGAGCTATGGGTAACATAAGTCTTGTTAGACTGACTTAAACTCTCCAAATCCAAAGGAAAGCTCTGGTCATCATCTGTGCCTGTTACTGCCTAATGTTCATGATCCTGATGTTACAAGTTTACAGGTATACCATGGCTCGCACACCAGAGCTTTGCAGGACAACATAGAAAATTACTTAACCCATTAAGGCTCACTCTTTGTGATCTGGCAGTTCCTGACTGGCATGTGTTCACAGGTCCTTCCTGATGAGCATTTGACCAACACTAGTAGAAATATAACAATATCCAGAGTCAGTTGCTAGAAGCTAAGTCCCAGTAGATCATCACAAGATGAACCCAACATCTCTACAGACTATGGTGTTTCTAGTCAAAACTCCACAAACAGCCCTGTCAAATTCATCACATCCATTTCCTTGATAGGGAATATTTTTTTATGAGAAAGTAATTTTATTAAATTATAAAAGTTTCCATTTCCGCCCCTCCTCCCAACACCCTCCCACTCCCCACCACTCCCTCTCCTCCTCCCTCTCCATCCCTAAGAGCAGTCAGGGTTTCCTGCCCTGTGGGAAGTTCAAGTTCTTCCTCCCTCCCTCCAGGTCCAGGAAGGTGAGTGTCCAGACAGACTGGATCCCCAAAATCCAGTATATGCAGAGGAAACAAGTCCCAGTGTCATTGTCAATGGCTTTTCAGAAAGACTCCAGGCCAGCCACATTCAGAGAATCTGGCCACATTCAGGGAATCTGGTTGGATCGCGTCCTCGTTCAGTCCCAGTCCAACTGGCCTTGGTAAACTCTCATTAGATCTGTCCCCTTGTATCAGTGGGTGATCGCATCCCTCGCAGTCCTGATTTCTTTTTTCATTTTCTTCCTCCTTCTGCTCCTCATTTGGACCTTGGGGGGCTCAGTCCAGT